ACCAGAGGTCTCTCCTCCAACAGCCAAAGACAGAACTCAGCCTGGCTCCATTCCAGCTCCTTGACCAAATCTGCGCAATGTTTGAAAAAGAAAACTCTGGGGTCATTCAGGGGAACAGTTTCCCACAAGTACTGACACCCGGATAATTCCCCACTGTCCTTTGCCAAGTGGGATTCCCTGCCACCTTGTCTTGGGCCCTCTCATTACACAGTCCAGAAATGAAGGCTGGGGAAGCCAGAGAATAAAAACTCGATCAGTACATTGAAACGAGTGTATTTAAAATATATATATTAAAACCTACCTATCTAGAAAGAATGAGACCAAAACATTAAGGTAATTTTCTTGGAGTTAGGTAGAATGGTGTGGGATTTTTGTTTGTTTTAAACTCTTTTCTCTTTCATTGTATCTCAAAAATGTAGCAAAGCGGGGTATTTTCCTATTAAACCAACTGAACAAAAAGTCCCCTTCCTCTTTGGCTCATTGTTATGAGAGATAGAGCACTAGCTAGTCACATGCCCTCTACGAACCTCGGTTTCATTCTCTGTGCGACAATTATTAAAATGCAGCACTTTCCAATAGAACGTTCGCCGTGAATGAAACATATATCTGCACTGTCCAATAGGGAAGCCATTGGCCACACGTGGCTATCGAGCCCTGGAAATGTGGCTGGTGTGACTGAGAAACGGAATACTTAATTTTAATTAAATTAATTAATTAATTAATTATTTTTTAGGCGAGGCAAACTTTGGTTGACCTCACAGATTGCAAGGACCTTGTCAGTTTACAATCCCTTATTTTTTTAAAAAACTTTTTATGCCTACAGCATCTGGTCTTCCTAGGTGGTCTCCCATCCAAACACTAACCAGGCCCAACCCTGCTTAGGTTCGGAGATCAGACGGGATCGGGCTTGTTCAGGGTGGCATAGCTGTAGACTTTAATTTAAACAGTCTTATGTGGCCAGTGACTACTGGACTGGACTGCACAGTGTAATCCTTTTTTCCCTAGGGTGACTGAGGAGATTTAATGCAACACTTTGTAAATAGGAATGTGCCCTACGAATGTCAGCTGAGTGTTGGTATTGTGATGGTGGGATGTAGTTCTGGGTGCCTGCTCTCACCTTTTTAAGAAGTGATTTTTTTTTTTTTTTAAGCAAACTCACTGAGTTTTTGGGAAGTGGGGACAATTAAAGCTTTGGTGAAACACATTAACCCTTTCCTTAAAAATTCCCAAAGTATCAAAACCCCAGGAAGAATCTCTCATGGAAAAAACGATCCTAAAAATTTCAAACAGGTTTGTAAACTCCAGAGTCCACAAAGGCCAGGCAATGTGAGCCAAGCGGGGAACGTGGGAAAAGGAGCAAACTGGAGGGCTGGTGCCCCATTAAAGCAGGCAGTCCATCCTCCACTCCTTGCTGCTGAGCGGGAATGTGAGCCAGCGTTTCCAGATCTTTCAAGTTTTTAGGAGAAGCAGGAAATCTGGACTTCTATGTGAAACCAGCCAACTTTTAAATGTTGGTAACTAATAATGATAATAATAATAATAAAAAACACCCCTGTGTTTGAGCCAAAAAAACAAGATGTGACTTGGATGACCTTCTTTTTCTTCCCCATCCCTGACTTAGAGCTTGGCTCCTGGATCAGGCTCCCAGGCTCCCATGCTCCCTGAGAACAGACCCTTGGGTATTCCGGCCAACTGCCTACCTAGTCCCTGACCCACCCACCTCACTGTTCCCTGCCACGTGCTGTGCCTGCCAGTATCTCTTCAGCCCCTAGAGATCCCCACCCTGACAACCGTGCATCTCTGGAGGGACTCAAGATTTCCTGAGCCAGCCCTTTGCTCCTTCCTGGCTCTGCGTGGCTGCTGGCCGGCACTGCCCTCCAGCCCGGATCTGCCTGGGCAGAACTGTGGAATGGGACTCTGTGACAGCACATCCAGACCTAGCTGCAGGGACCTGAGCCCAGCAGCCCTAACACCTCTCCTAATTTGGGGAAATTGGTGTACCCGGCTTGGGAATGATGCAGGAAAAGGAAGAGGGATCTCAGGACGGAGGTGGAGTAGGTAAGTTGAGTGCCCAAGAAAGGGTAAAAAAGGAAAGAAGGGCAATCTCAAGGCAGAATAGTTGGGCTTGGCCTTAATTTGTGCTTTCCATATGCACAGGCCTCAGAATACCGGAATCTGAAAATGCTTCGCATATGCATGTCTTGGGGTTAAACAAATTAGGGGAATTCTGTCATAGATCTTCCTCTTGGAAACTCATGGTGTGTACATCTGCATCCTAAAAGCTCTGAAAACTCCTATAATTAAAAAAAAAAACAAAGTGAGGTAACTTTAACTCACTATTTCCCAAACTTATTTGACCCAAAACTCTTCTCTCAACAATGCCTGTGGTTCAGTGGGGTCCCATGTAGGGTGGCAGTCACACCGCGCCCAAGCCACATGGACTAGTGCAATGGGAGGGTGGGGCTGCACAGATGGAAGCTGGCTGGGCCTTGCTGACAGACGGGGGTCGTTCCAGGGACCTGGGAGTAGCAGCCTGAGCAAGGCTGGGGGGACAGGAAGCCTGCAGGCCTTCTGACTCACTTTTGTCACTAACATTTAGAACTATCAAACATGCATCAAATGTTTTAGCATGTGCCAGGTCTTTCTCAAAAATTATTGCCTTTCAATTTCCACATCACCTCATGCGGGGAGGATTCTCACCCCACTTGCAGGCAAGGCAACCAGTGTTCAGAGAGGTGAAGGGATTTGCCTGTGGCAATGCTGTGCTCGGCCCAGACAGCACTTCATCCTCTGGCTTGTGGGGAAGCACACCCTGGCCTTCTTTTCTCTATGGCCTCCAGACCTATCACAATCTCCTTTGAGTATTTGAATTACAGATTCAAATACTGGGCTCAAGTCTAGAAATTCTGACTCAACAGGCCTGGGGTGGGGCCCAGGCAATTGTATTTTTAGGAAGTTTCCCAGGTGATTCTGATAAACAGCCACTTTGAGAAAGAACTGCTTTAGTGACGACTTGGGCGTCCCTGGGTTGGGGAAGAGGGCAATTGAATATTGGCTCCAACCTCATTTGGCCCAACTGTTTGTCCAGACGCCCCCCACTTTAATGAGTGTCCCAGTTATGGGTTGGGATGTCAGATCCTATCTTCCTGTCTGCCCTGAATTAAGGGAAAGTGTCCCAGAAGGGCTCAGGATGAGGGTGGGGTGCCAGTGGAGAAAGGGTAGAGTTTTTAAGACCCCGGATGTGCACTGGCCAGCCTGGACCCTCTGCAGGGCAGGTTTCTGGAGAGGAGCATATTCCTGCCACAGGAACTTCTTGGCTGTGCTTGGTAGGGAGACTCTGGGCTGCAGCCCTGGGGTACAGAGTGAGTGTTGAGGGGGTCCTGTGGGAGTGAACCAGGCAGTGAGTGCTGGCAACATGCCGCAGACACAGCTTCTCAAACCACTGTGCCTGAGCTGGAGGGCTGTGGAGAGGGAGTGTCTGCCTCTTCTGTTCCCAGTTTCCTTCCCGGGACCTGACTGGTGTGTGCTGGGGTGAGGAGGTGTGGGGAACCACTGGACACAGCTGCTCTCCTACCCTGGACCCCTTTCTAGCCCCCTCTAGAGGAGAGGAGGTTTCTGCTCCCTCTCCCCACTCGCCACCCCCAATCCCACACACCATCTCCTCTCAGACCACAGGTTCTGCTCACTCACCTTCTCGATGACCCCAACCACCCTGCAGCCCCTCAGCTGCTCCAGGGTGGAGCTCAGTGTGCGAATGGGCCGGAGCCTCAGGCTGCTGAAACCCTGCAGAGGTGGGAGACAGGCCACATGGCCTAAGGGCCCACTCCTCAGCCACTGCTTCTCACCAGGGTGTGAAGGGACTCTGAATGCCAGGAGAGCGGTGGCCACAGCAGGCAAGGATGGGCCAATGGCCGACCTCACCTCACAAGAACAGGCTGAGCAGAGAAGCTGGCCCCAACTGGCAAGGGACCCATGCTGGTCCACGCTGGCCATGCTGCCTTCTGCTCAGCCTCCACCCAGCCCTCCTCCAAGGCTCAGGGGAGCTTCAAAAACCCATTCTCGAAAGCCCCGTTCACAGGAGGCGATGCTCTCGGGTTGGGAAAATGCCCTGGGAACATGTAGGTTTCAGGGAACATGCCTTAAAAACCAAGGCATGAGGCCCAGACACCTGCTTTGGGGAAAAGCAACCCTGCAAGATGCAGTGAGCCAAGGAGGGGTGGGTGTACGTGCTTGTGCACTCCTGTAGGCATGAGAAGTGTGCATGCATTTTCATCACCCACTAGGTTAGGAAAAGCCACACGGGGAAAGCATTTGTGCACATGTATGTAGGCATGCATTCGTGTGTGTGTGTGCATGTGTCGATATTTGTGTCTGCTACAAGTACTCACTGCAGCCCATTCAAACGCAAACGGACCTGGGAGCCTTGGAGTGTGTACGCATGTGAGCATGTGTATGAGCTGTGTGTGAGGGTGGGGAGATGTGTGTGTATACTCCATGAAGGTGCAAGACTGGACTGGAGATGATTCACTAAGTGTCTGAAAATGAATGAACTATGGAGGGTGTGGGAGAGAGAGGAAGCCAGAAGGAGGACGAGAGTGGGGGCAGCCCTGGCACGAAGCACTGCCCGCCCTGCCCTGCTGGCCTGTGGGCGTGGGGGCCTCAGCTCTCCCCCTCAGCACTCTCAGGCCCTTGGGGAGGGTCTCCTCACCGTGCCAGGGCTGGCTCTGCTGCCCAGTGTCTTCTGCAGGTGGCAGTTGAAGATCTCTTCTGCCCGCTGCAGGTACTTGGTAATTTTCAGCTTTACAGCCTCGCATCGCTCCTTGTTGGGGTCGACTGTGAGGGGGAAAGGTTCACCAGGACTCACCCCTGACCCCACAACAGTCTTGGAAGGCTGGTGTTCCAAGTCCCATTGCCCACCCTCTGTCTTCCACTCTGTGGAGACAGAGTGCCTATTTCTGAGGCTGGCCAGCAGATTCTGGCCCTACATCTGCTCTTGAGCCCTTCCTCTGGGTGGGAGACCAGCAGGGGAAGAGGAAGGAAGATGGCAGGAGAGGCTGGGAACCATGATCACCCTCAGCCTAGACTCAGTTTCCCTCCCTTCACTTCCTCCTCATTGCTCTTCACATCTGGGACTACAATTGTCCATCATCAACCCATCGGTCTCCCCCCATTATAATGCAACCCCCAGAGGGCAGGGGCACAGCCCAGCTCCAGGGCCAGGCCAGAAGAGTGGGTCAAGCACACTGCCTCTCGTGTGAAAACTGTTAAACCTCAGCTTTGCCACTCGATAGCTATGAAACCTTAAGCAAGCTATTTCACTGCCCTGTGACTCAGGTTCCTCATCTGGAAAACTGGAATAAAAATAGATCCTATATACGAGGCACCACCTACAACAACACATATAGTATCTTCTGTTACCGTGAGGCTCAAATGAGTTAATATAGGTAAAACCCTTAGACAAGGGCCTGGCATGTAGGTACTATTCATTAAGTGCTAGCTATTATTACTATCTTTCACAGAGGTCCTGCAGGGCCAGCAGAGCCCCGCTCACCGCGCACAGATGGACGACGACGGGACGAGCCCTGAGCTGGCCCTTCTGCCCTCACCGTGCATGCCTCGTAGCAGAACGTCCACGCCATTCTGGTAATGGTTGAAGGCTGCCTCGTAGTCCTCACCAACATCGCGCTCCAGGGCCAGCCGGATCTGTGTGGCTGCATCTACCAGGTAGTCACGCTTGGTCATGTCAGGTGCCCCCAGAGCCACCCGGTTGCGAATTTGCTCCAAATACGTGTGGGCCTGGGACCGTACTCGTGAGCAGGGCTCAGGCTCTTGGCCAGGGCTGGGCGGGCACTCGCAGGCCACCAGGCTCATGGCTGCTGCCCTATGACTGTGACCTGGAACGAAAAGATGCAGTAGAGAGGACCCAGCGGGGAACAACACCCCATCTGCACCCTGGTTTCCTCCACTGAATATTCAGAGACTAACACTCACCTCCAAGGGTTGGAGGGATCAGAGCTAATGTGGGTAAAGTCCCTTCACTGAGCCAGATCTTTCCAAAGCGGTGTTAATAGGATAATAACACGCTTGGGGCTCCTTCTTTCAATTCCAATTCAGTTCAACAAGTATTTCTTGAGCATCTACTATGTGTTGAGCGCTGGAAAGTGCTGTAGATAGTCTTGATCCAGAGCTGCCTTCATGGGGCCTTCATAGGGCAAACCGGTGTCTAGTGGACAGGAAACATTTGGAGGCTACACTCTGAGGCCAAGGCAGGGGCTCTGGGCTCAAAGGCCATACCTCACACTGTTCCCTCCATCCTGCCTGTTCTCCCCTCCCTGCTTGCCCTACAGGAATCTCATTTATCTTTCAGGATTCAGCGCCAAACAGAATGGATTGTCCCTGCTTTGTTTCCCTTAGTGCAGAGGTCGGTGTGGTCAGGAGTGAGGAACCCCCACAGAGCCCAGCAGAGAGCTGGGCACAAGGCCAGGTCTTAGAGCATGGGGGCAAGTGAAATGACTGAGTGGCAGATTTTGGACAGAGTTAGAGGAGTCAAGGCAGGGTGGACCCAGCCCTAGGGACAGGATGGCTTTGTCTTTCTGGCTCTCTCTGAGAAAGCCAGGAGGCACGTGGCCTCCAAGGACCTGAGAGCAGTTCCTTCCTGAGCGGTGAGACACAAGTGGCTAAAGGGATAGAAAAGTGGCTGCAGGAAAGGAAAGGGCTCAGAGAGAGGCCAGCAGAGCCGCCTCTGCCCCTCACTGCAGGGCCACCTTTGCTCTCTGTGGCCCCATTGGGAAGGGGCAGGACCCGACTTCTAACCTCAGGGCATTTCTGTCTCCGTGGAGAAAGAGAGGAGAGAGAGCAGGATGGGGATGGGGCGGGAAGGGAAATCCACATGCCAGGGCCAGCGGGGAGCTGTAAGTATGCCCAGCCACCCAGGACATGCAGCCCTGAGGCCTGTGTCAGGGATGCCAAGACCAATAGGCTGGACCGCTCTGGTCAGGTCCCAGCCTCAGGACCACCCCACCCGGCCGGGTCCTGCGGGGCAGAGCAGCATGGCCACGCCCGGACACGGAAATCGTGCGTCCAGCCTGCAGAGTCCCCAGCTCACAAGAGGCATCACTCTGCGGGGGTCAGGCCGAGGAAGACCGGCTGGGGGAGTGAGAGTAGGGGGCATCCTCGCCTAGGGGATGAGGGATGATGAGGAGCAGGACAAACACCGTACCTGCCCGAGCCAGGAGCTACCACTGCCGCCACCGCCCCTTCGCCCCTGTGGGGTACCGTGCACCTCGGACCTTGGCTTTGCGCGGACCAGCCAGGTGCAGAGTCTGGCCGGGTGCAGCCTGGCCATTGGCTACAGATGAGCTCATCCTCTATCCGTTAGAATAAACCACCAATCAGCGCCTGGGTGGCTTCTGCCGGTTCTTAAAGACGCAGGGTCTGCAAAGCAGAGCGCTGGGGGAAGGGGTGAAGTTTGGGAATAGGTGGGTGGGGACAGGGGCCGGGGCAGAGGCCGGGGCAAGGGTCTGTACCTGTTTTATTCACTGATGTATCCCAAGTGCCTAGAACAGAATTTGGCACATAGTATTGCTCAATAAATATTTGCTGAATGAATGAATGAATGAGCTCTGAAGAATGGGAAAGAATGTTCTGGGCAGGCAAACAACATGTTAAATGCCTTGACAAATCAAGGGAGAAAAATAACACTTGCACATCAAACAGATGGCATAAAACCATTTGATAAAATTTAACACTCATTCATGATAAGGACAAACTCTTTACTTAACAAAACCTAAATAAACTCATGAACTTACTTCTTAATTTGATAAAAAGGTTATCTACCAGAAACAGAGCATGTGTAATGTAACTTACACAACATGTAATGATGGAGCTTTAGAAGCATTCCCACGGGCCTGTTGTCCTTCTGGCATATGGTAGGATCACATTTCTCTATCTACTTTGGAAGTTAGGCTTGGCCATGGAACTTGCTTTGGAATCCTGGTGGATAAGACGAGTTCCTTCAGGATGGAAGCTGCAAAAGCTAGTCCATAATTCTTCTGCCATAGTTATCACAGAAGTACACACCCATAGAGGCATAGAGCTTCCATCAGCCTGAGTCTCTGAGAAACACCAATAAGGAACTCCTCTCTGCTCCATGATTTGTGTTGGACATGAAGTGTAAGAGAGAAATAAATTTTTATTGTGTTACTGCAGCATACCTTGGTCTATCTTGAATGGTATGAACAGTCAGAAATGAACCAATATCTCCACTTTTCAACAACGTACTGGAAGTTGCAATTAACACAACAGAAAACTAAAATCAAACAAGAAGTTTAAAGATTGGAATGGAAGAAGCCAAATTGCCATTATTTGTGATGAAGTAATGAAAACCTAGAGCAATAATTGGTGAGTTCAGCAAGTGGCTGGACACTAGATCAATATTTACAAATCAAGAGATTTCCTATGTATCAACAATAACAATTTGAAAATGTAATAATTTTAAAATCCCATTCACCAAAACTGTGACAAAATCCCATTCAACAAAACTGTAACTAAAACCGTGACATACTTAAGAATAAACTAATTATAAATATATGACCTTCATGGGAAAAACAGTAAAATTGTATTGAAAGACACAAAAAAGACCCAAATAAATGGAGAAGTGCTGTGTTCACTAATAGGATGACTACCACTGCAAACATGTCAATTCTCCCTAAATTAATTTAAAACTTCAATGCAATTTCAATCAAAATACCCAAAGGACTCTTCACAGCACTTGACAGGATACTTCTAGAATTTGTTTATTCGTTCACTTAACGAAAACTTATGGAAGACCTACTATGGATCTGACACTGTTCTAGGCACTGCGGATATGGTGGTGAATAACTCAAACAAACAAACAAAAAGCCTTAATGGAGCTTTCATTCTAATGGAGAAAACCAATAATAAACACATAGACATATAGATACGTAATATCTCATGTCATTTTAACAGTATATATAAATGTGCAATGATAGCCCCTTGAAAAAGAACAAATGGTGGTGGTTAGAAGCTTGCCTTACCAGATCAAAAGACATATTATAAAGTTGCAGTTTTTAAAACAGTTGGCATTAGTGCACATAAATAGATGATAAAAATAAAATAGAGCCCCTAAACGAACTCTTGCATATAAAGAGAATTGACTTAGGATAAAGAAGGCATTTCAAACCAGTGGATGAATTCTTCATGAGAAATGTTGGGACAATTGACTTAACTTATGGAAGAAAATTGATCTCTACTTCACATCATATATGAAAATAAATCTCAGTTTAAATTTCTAAGTAATAATTTAAAAAAACACAAACGTTTAGAAGAAAGTGTCCAAGAGTATCAGCATGATCTTCAGGTGGAAAGTGCCTATTAAATATTCCTGATGGAGAGGGAGATGCAAATTAGAACATTTTGGAGGATGATTTATCAGAACCATTTAAAGCGAAAATACACATAAGTCATGACTTATCAATTCTACTTCTAGATATTTAATCTAGAAAAACATTCGCTAGGATACATAAGGATATATATGGATATTCATTGCAGTATTGTTTGTAGTATCAAAAATTGGAGAAGATTCCAAATCTAATACTTATGGAATATCAATATGAAATGAGATAATAAAATGTGATATATTCAAATATTGAATTATTATTATTCAGCATTTTAAAAGAATGAACCAGAACTGAATCTATGTGTATGAACATGTGAGATCTCATAAAAATATTGTTGAGTAAAAACAGTTCCCAAATGCTACCTATGATGTGCCATTTATATTTCCATTTTTAAAGTACACACATAAAATAATATTATATATTACCTATATATTATAGTATATTAGTCAGGATTTTCCAGAGAAACAGAACTGATGGAATGGGTAGATGATAGATGACAGATAGATAGATTTCTTATTATAAGAAATTGACTCATGCAATTATGTAGGCTGAGAAGATCCACGATCTGACGTCTGCAAACTGGAGACCTAGAAAAGCCTGTGGTATAATTCCAGTGTGAATCTGAAGGCCTGGCAACTAGGAGCACCAATGGTGTTAATCCCAGTCCAAGGGTAGAAAATCAATGTCCCAGCTCAATCAGGCAGAGAGGGCAGATTCTCACTTCCTCCACCTTTTTGTTCCATTCAGGTCCTCGATGGATTGCACGATGCCCACCCACATTGGGGAGGGCGAGCTGCTCTGCTCAGTCTACCCATTCAAAATGCTAATCTCATCTGGAAACACTCTCACAGACACACCCCAAAATAATGTTTAACTAAATATCTGGGCACCCCTTGACCTAGTCAAGTTGACACTTAAAATTGACCATCACATATAGTAATAGTTCACATCTGTATTCAGTACTTACAATGAGCCTGGCACTATCCGAATCACTTAACATGGAAAAGCCTATGTAAATCTTAAAACTAAAGTATTAGTTACTATTATTAATCCTTTCTTTACAGATGATAAAATTAAGGCAGAGGGAGATTAAGTAATTTGCTTAAGCGTATACAATTAGGAAGTAGGAGCACTAGGCATCAGACCTTGGAAGTTTGGCTCCAAAACCCAAGCTCTGGACCACTATGCTGACTCATGTGAAGCTCCTAACTGGTATTATCCAGCAAGTGGACCCGGATTTGGGGAAGGGAGCAGGCAGCGGTCAAATAAAGCTCTGCATACCTGTAATGTCCTATGTCTTTAAAGAACAAAGTAAAGTGATATATTATTTGCGATGTTAAAATTTATTTTTAAAAATTATATATTAAATTATATACATGTAATTATATAATTATTTCTTCAGAATATAGTGATTAGTGCAATAAGGAAGTAGGCAGTACTTCATAAGCCTCTAATGGTGCACTAGACCCA